TAAAAGGATATGTAAGTCCCAATGCCAGAATCGAAGAGCAGCGGCAGGCAAGTAAAGAAAGTATCACGAAAAGAGGACAACACAACATGACGTTTCTTTTGATAAAGAATGACGGCACCCATGAAATTCCTCAATTCAAGTTTTAGCACTTCAAAAAACCGCCTGAGCTAGTTTTGTCATGAGATACCGTTATATGGATAGTTTTCTCCTAGCCAGTTAATCTAAGCTGGCTATACAAATACGTGAGGAAACATTTAAGCTATTGGTAAGCAATTGAATCGGCTAGAGCTTAAATCCAAATATAAGGGCACTCCAAACAGGACCCGGTAAAAACTAGCCAAGAGACGGAATTTCTTCGTGTTTTGTGGTGTTTGTGTTGGGGGGTTTTTTTTATTTATATGTGTATATAGATAGATGGAGAGAGATATATATAAATATATATATTTGATCTTTTTTTTTTTTCGTAAAGGTTTATTATTTAATTTTGATCGTGCCTAAGATAATTTTTTTTTTTTCAATTTTTAATTTAAAACTCGTTATTAGATTGCACTTTCTGCCCGCGGCTACTGCTGGCATTTTGAGGGGGGACCTACATACTTACGCGAAAGGGCAAGAAATCGTTAAAATAACTAAAAACTGCAAAAATATAGTTAATAAATCATACCGATTCCTCTAGATGCAACATCAGTAGCGACCATAATTGGGGATTTTCCACTCCGAAATTCACTTAAAACCCAATCACGTTCACTCTGAGCCTTATCACCATGAATTGCAAGTGCTGGCCAACCATCTTGACGCAAGTATTTAGTAATTTCGTCCGCTGTACGCTTAGTTCCAGTAAAGATTAATGTTTTATTATCTTTTTGATCCATAATCCTCTCAAGATGTTTAACTAATCTACAATAATCAAAGTAAATAAATAAACGATGCATATTATCAATATCAAACTTATTTGTAAACATAGTCGGTGCTTACTTTGTTCGTTTTTCGTACTCTGCACAAACTTCGACTACCTGCGTAATGTTATGACTCGCCGATAAATCTAATGAACCAATGTTCACCTGAATAAAATCATGAAGATAATCTTCGGCGAGCTTTTTAACTTCTTTTGGCCAAGTTGCACTCCACATAAGTGTTTGTCTATCTGGTCGTATTTGATCAACTATCTTACGAATTTGAGGTTCAAATCCCATATCTAACATACGATCTGCTTCATCTAGAACAAGGTAAGTAACTCGGCGAAGATTTGTTCGCCTAGATTCTAACATATCGATTAAACGACCAGGTGTCGCAATGCAAATTTCAACACCTTGTGACAACTCGCGAGCTTGAGGTCCTTTAGGTACACCACCGTATACACAGGTATTTTTAATCTTTGAGGACTTGCCGAATTTGGTACATTCTTGTTGAATTTGCACGGCTAATTCACGTGTAGGAGCGAGAATTAGAACAATCGGACCATCACCAGGTTCAAGGAACGGTTGGGCATTGATATGTACGATAGCCGGTAAACAGTAGGCTAGAGTTTTGCCAGATCCTGTTTCAGCTATACCTACAACATCACGCCCAGAAAGTGCCATCGGCCATCCTTGAGATTGAATTGGCGTGGGAGCTTTAAATCCGAGGTCCAATACTTCTTTCAACACATAAGCTAAAGTAATTTGTAAGAAAAAAGAATTTTCAAAATATAATCCGAAAAGAAATAGTGAAACTTATTTAAATTTAAAGGTATGTTGAGAAAAATACCTGGAAAATTGGCCTCTTCAAAAGTCTCTACTGGTTTTGGGATTTCACGACCAAAGACTTTCATGTCATGAAATTTACGGTACTCCTCCACTTCGACAACTGATCGTGAAATGACTTCAGGATGTTCCCGATAAAAATTCTTTTCAAATTTATGGAGTTTAGAGAAATCCCACTCCTGTTTAATCAAACCTGATCCAAGGTTTGACATACGATCATTTGAATAGGAGGCGGTGTTATTTCCTCCTGGACGATAGCTCGATGATGAATAACGTTCCCGACTTCCATAATTTTCATAAGTTGGACTACGATCTCGATAGCTAGAGCTGCGAGAATCATATCTAAAATTAATTTGAATCAATAACGGGGGTTAGTTAATTCTCTACTTATTCGGTTAACCTCGTTAACTTTTACGATAAACATGACTGCTAATGCAATAAAATATTTATACAGATATCCTCATTAGACGTAATAAAGTTCTTATAAGAATATTTGACTTGATTTATAAGCAGCAATAAACGAAGAACTAATAATTAAAATAAAAGTAAAACCTACTCCTTACGATCCCTCCGACTGCGATCATCATAAGAACGATCTACACCACGTTCGTTTCCATATCTTGAAGAGTAAGATGAAGAACTATAACCAGAAGAATTTTTATAAGAACCACTATTATTATAGGAAGATCCACTGGTGCCATAAGTTGAAGACGATGGTGGGGCAGCACTACTACCACCATAAGTAGAAGTGGAGGTAGCTGTATACAATGTTCCTGGAGGAGCGGGAACACCCGGAGCACCATAATTTGAAGTATAAGACATGTTTTATTCTTTAGGTTGTATAGGAAAGAATAGAAACGAAAAAGATGGACGAAAGATAGATGGATGTTAGTAAAGGTGAAAAAAAAGGCCTTATAGAGAATTTGGAAATTTTTATACTTTTTTTCCGCAAAGTATTAATTGTTAATTCACGTGATATACCGAAATGATCGGCGATTTTTATTACCTAATATGGTACAAATTTTGAATTCCTATATCAAACGTTATCTTTTGTAATTACATGTAAATTAAAAATTTCCACACGTGACAAAATGCGTGAAATCACAAATGTTTACTCAAAGTGTTCTTTTAGATAAAATTAATACGACAAGTAAGATACATAATATAATATTTATCCATTTTCAACTTTGATACAGACTTTCCCAATCATATTGTCAAATGTTATTTCGCAAGCCAAAATAGAAAGGGCACGTGACATGAATTTCGAGAACCCAATTGTTTTAGATGATCTTTGTAATTGAAATAACATCTTCGGCCGCCTTGGGAATTGGCCATACGGTTGACGTATAGTTGGATGTGATGGATAAAGGCAAATATCGAACGTTTTGAGAGATGGATAGATCGTTTATCGCAGATTTGGCGGTCGTTGAGCTTGAAATCACATATTGATTTGCGTGGGACCCGAAAATATTAAGATTAGAATCGGTTTTCTGCGTTGCGCCTGAAAAAAAAACAAATTGAAAGTTCGATTATTATCGAAAAAATTGTTGAGATGTTAAGAAATTAAGTATATTACCATCATCAACTTGTACAGGAGAAGATAAATTATAACGGAAAGAATCGGCACAATTGTTATCATGAAAAAAGTTGTTGGGAAAACATGGCAATGCCAAAGGTGTAGCTTCAAAATCTATTTTTTTTTTTTTTTTTTTTTTTTAGAAAAATATAATTATATAACTTTTTCAATATATCTTTAAATAGACGAAAGAATAAAAAATTGATTTACTTTGCCCATCTGTAAGACTACTTCCACTAGCATAAGAATCGTAAGTGGATCGATAGTTCCAATAATTAACGTTAACAGGAATTTCTAATTTTGGTTCTTCAGGTGAAGTACTAAGGTTAGCCAAAATTGGCGTAATTCTGGATTTTCTGGGTAAATTTGTACGGGAATTACCAATAGGATTTGAAATATTCTTTGGTGGTTTCATCTTTTCCGGGAAATAATCTACAGCTAATGTTAATTTCTTTGGTTTATTTTTTGATGCATTTTTTGATTCCAATGCGTCTCTTTTAACCTTTGCTCTACGATTTTGAAACCAAACTTGAATTGCACGTGAGGATATATTTAATTGTTGAGCCAATTGAGCACGTGTAGCTGCATCAGGTTTTTGTACATTTTCAAAAACGTTATTCAATACATTTGTTTCTTCTTCGGTGAGTCGACGTCGACGTTTAACTTGACGATAAGGAGGTAGATAATGATGATAAACATGACTGGTTAAGGTGTTAGGCGACTGTTCAGGAGATGATGTCTCATTTAAGACCAATCCTTCTTTTATGTCTTGATTTACAAATTCATGATGATTTTGATATAATGGATGATAGTGATGACTTTCTTCTGTAAAATTTGAATTTCCAATTCCATTGCTACTGATATTCATCATTACATCCGTGGTCGTTGGGGCTTGTTTGTAATGTTGGTTTGAATGAAAAGAAAATGCAGTTATCATTTACTTGCGGCAAATTATAAAAAAACGAAAGGAAAAGAAGTGTCTTCTCGTGCTCGTGTAACACCTCTTTGCTACTACGCCCCCGTATATCAATTTTTCAACAATTCTTTAAGAAGTGCTGTTGGATCAAATCAAAGAGAATAAATAAATAAATAAAATACATTTGTCAATCAATAAAAAAAATTTTAAACAAATGATAAGTTTAAAACTGTAATAAATATATCACCTTTTCATGTATATTAAATATTGAAAATGAAATTTTTTTTGTTCATTAAATGATTTATTTATTCGTAATGAATACAATAAAAATAAAAAAAAGATTTGTCCGTAAGTGTTCTAACTAAATAATTTGATCAATTAATTCTGCTCAAGTGACATGTTTTACGAATGTTTTTTTTAACTTTGCTGATTTTGATATATTGAATATACTGTTTAATAGATTAATTTGCATAATTTTTCCCACCCTGTCATTTTATTATGCGCATAGAAACGACTCGTGTAAGTAGTATTTACGTAGTGATTGACTGATTTCAATATATACAGTAACTATCATACATATCTCTCGACATTTATATTTTTCACGTGTAATTAAAAGTTTATTATAAAAGAAATAAAAAATAAATAAATAAATTGTGAAACATTCAAAAATTTATAAATAAAACCAAATGAATTTTAAGATAATTGTTAATACAACAAATAATTAATTTAAATCAAATAAAAGAGGATTGATAAACACGGATACAAATTAGAAAGTTGAATTTATGGCTTTCACTAAAGGAATATCCGATTTTTGTAAACCTATAACATCCAATATATCCAACGGAACATGATCAACCGATGAAGGTGGCATATAAATTGATGGGGATGCTATTGAGGGAGATGTTCCTGTGGCGGTGGATGTAGGGAGTGAGGATGAAAATAATTTCTTGTACATCACAGCCTTATAGTACAATAATCTCAGATGATCTTCCATATACTCAAGGCACTATAATTAGAATACAAATTTATGAGATTATGTAAACTTCAGTCCTTTTTTTTTTTTAATAAATTAAAGAATATTTGCTTACAGATTCTGCAGGCATTCCCATGGTTGTATACAAGTCTTTACATTGATGTAACATTGCGTATATGTAATTTGATGTATGAAGCGGAAGGAAATATCCAGCGCCATTTCTTATGTGATCTCCATCAACCGTAACTGTTGAATTTCCAATCACATGTCGACTTCCGTATGCATCACAGCCTAGAACCGAACAATTTCTATAATTATGTTATGTACATATTAATATATATTTCAATATGTGCCAAAGTATCGTGCAATATTGTGTACTTGCAATGTATTCAACTGCCCCAAAATGCAAACGGATTTTGAAACTGGGTCTTGAGAAGATAGCGGCTGCATCTATAAAAAGTACATATCATAAATTAAAATAATTGTATCATTCAAAATTTCTGATATTTAATAGTTTTTATCGAATTGTGAACAATCACCGATAAGAAAAATTGCGATTTTACCAGCAGAGAATTCCTTAAGTCACTCTCCAATGATTCTTGAAATTCACCGAGTTTAGGAAGGCCCATCAATACAAAATCGGACATGTAAGTATCACAGCAACCGACCATAAGTGATCTACCGTACGATTTTAAAAATAATTCATCTGCTCGATACGGGAGTTTTTTACTGGACGGTTCGTCATTTTCATTACGTGTTTCGTAGGATGATACGTCCGGTATTATGGTTGAAGTTTGTGATCTGCATACAACAATTATGATTAAATAGAATAATGAATGTGTATATTCGATAAGGTTGAAATTTACCTTGGCATTGGAACTTCCAATAAGTTATCGGTGAAATTGTCAAATGATAAATCTAAATTAACGCTTTTCCGTCGATTATCAGATTTATTCTCGTCCAATGAATTTGAATTGGAAGTATCTGCAGTGTTTTTTTTTTTTTTTTTTTTTTTTTTTTTTTTTAAAAAAAAAAAAAAGACTCATCTTTATCAACTTTATTTAATTACATTGTTGTCATTCAGTAATTTTTGACGCACCTTCAGAAGAGGAACTTTTTGAACCAATATTATTATTTTCAGGATCCACCTGTTCTTCAGATTGGCTTTCTGTCGAAATCATATGTTCCATTCTTTCGTAAACTTCATTACATCGAATAAAATAACTCAAAACAAATAAGATACGACGGACTGTGTTTACATCTGTACCAACAATAATGGTCCGGCTCATTATCGAAGGTGTGCCTATGCTACCATACAAGTCCCTAAAAGGGTTAAAAACAAAGATAATAATAGTATTCAGCGTAGCATCTCGCAAACTAAAAAACCTGATTACTTTGAACCATTCATAATTAGAGCGCTCTCTCAAAAAATTAAAATTTACCCTAATTGTGCCCATAATGGATCATAAAATAGATTCTTCCCATTCTATTGAATAAAGTTAATGAAATAAATTTATTTTTTCCTTCTTCTCCCTTTAAATAATAAAAAGGCAAAATAAAGTTACCCGTTCTTCAACATCTGCAATGGGTGCCACTGTCGAAACCCATGCCAGATGATACATTAAAACGCTAGATATCAGCGTGGAGATGAAACTAAATTTTTTTAAATAAATATAATTAAGGTGAATACGATAAAGTATGAAATTAAACGTGGTCAAATTATTTTTCAATAAAGGATACGAATTAGATTCTTTATCAAAATTTTCCAACAAAAAAGTTAGTTCAGTCAACAGGCTTTTAGCGAGTTTACTTCTTTGTTGCGGAAATGTCGACATGTTTAACCACAATGGCTCCTTGCGCAAAGTTTTGGAAGGGATGATTAAGGAGTTAGTGGTTGCCACCTTTGCTAATGCGTACGCAATTATTTTTTTTTTTTTTTTGAGGAAAAGCGCACTTTAGGTGAAGTAACATTTTCCAAAGAGTTATTTCGTAGTGGGTGGTGAATTCTTTTCTTATGTCATTGATACCTGGATTCGCGGCGTACTATACAATTGGCAAAACGATGTCTTAAATCGCAAAACTGCATCTAACCAGATTTGTTCGTTTTGGAGCATTAATGGGGAAAGAGATGCCACGGAAATTCTCCTATTCGTCGGATTAAATATCTAAGAAATAGTAAGCGAAAAGATTAAACAAAAATAGCTTTAAAAAAAAAAAAATTGCATAATCTCAAAATTAAAGTTTACTGAATTAGGTCCGTTAATAGATGATGATGGTGAAGATTTTTTAAGAAAGTGGCAAAGTAATCTAAAAGCTGTAGAATGAAGCTGATGTAGCCTGTTTTCTAGTAACGCGAAATGTGAGAATATAAATTCTTCCAACGTTGCATTATTTTCTAACGTTATGACGACTCCAATAGCATACATCATAGAACGTGAAGGATGCTTCAAACTTAACTGATAATTAAATATAGTTAATAAAAAAGCTATTAATTCATAAATATTTTAAAAATATATATACAGATATATAGATATGACACAAGAGACATACATTACTATTGTTCAGAGGATCCAGCCGACTAGTTAATGATTCAAGTCGCGCAATACTTCCCGGTAAAGGAGTTGGGTTAAATATACCATTTTCCATGCTAGTCTGACTGTATCTTCGCATTCTTCTATTAGTGAAATTATTACGCGGTGAAGTTGAAAGAGAAGAAGTTGAATATACCGAAATATCATTCGTTCTCAAACCAAGGATTGGAGGTCCAGGATGAAAAAATGAGGGAGAAGAAGAATAATTAGGAATAAAACGAAAAGAATCGTCATCGCTCGATTCCGAATAATCGTCAAAATATATTGAACTTGATCCAAATTTTTGTCTTGTAATATTACGCAATTCATTATTGATAGCTAAACTACCTTGTGTAGAGGAAGATACAGAAGTATCACTACTCATAGAAGAAAAAGAACTACGTCTTCCGGGAGAATTAGATTCAAAATCGGCAGGACTTATTGAGAACAATTTTGTTAACAAAATTTGAGGTTTTGGGGATTTAATAAAATGAATTTTGGTTGTCATCCCTTTGTAAGATAAAGGAACAGCTCCAAACATCATCTCACCAATTAAATCTATATTATGAGCTGTCTAATTTATTATAATAAAATAACGTTAGTGTTGAACAATAAAACCAAATTCCATGTCGAAAATTACCTTTCTCTGCGAGAGAAGCGTATGACTGCTACGATTCATGGAAGGAGGTAAAGTTTTTATACTAGATTTATTAATGGAATCAAAACTTTTTCTTTTATTGTCGCTATCTAAATTATTGTGGTGATGATGATTACGATGATGAGAAGGAGGGTGACCTGTTGTATTAACCGGATTATTAGATTTAATATTTATAGCACTGCTAGATTTTGGAAGAAAAAAGCCAACTCCACTCCAAGAAGAAGAAAGTTCGGATGTTGGTCTTTCCGAAGAATTTGATGTTACTGGAATTGACGAATCATATAACGTTAATTTTGCTTTGTCACCCGTATCCTGACATAAAATGACGCGAATTTGGTTGGAATTGAAGGAAGGCGGTGACCAGCTATTAAAAATAATATTAATAATAATAATTTTTTTTTTTTTTAAAAAAAAAAAAAAAAAGTTAAAGAATGTAACTTCAATAAAAAATAAAAAATACAATATTTAAATAACCAAGGATTTATAATAACTATAAAATGTCAAATCTTTTACACCATAATAAAATTTCCGATGAAAACCATCCATATTAAACTGGATAAACTTGCTCAAGGCAAGGCCATAAAAATACATACGAGTCAGCCTCCAATAATGCTCGAGTATTCGAGTCTTCTACATCTTTATTCGTAGGTTTTGTGCGAAATAATTTTTGCAACATTTTGTCTTTAAAGAAATAAGACAAAAAATAACGAAGAAACAATCTCCGTCTAATAGTAATCAATAATTCATTTGATATTGCGATGATTTATTATTTATTTTATTTTTTATTTTTTTTTGTTAAGGAAAAATAGTGTAAATTTCTTAGTTTGTAGATCAACCTCTGTTATCTAGTACTGTTATAGTAATTTCTTAAAACGTCTATTTATTAACACAACATCGCAGTTTATCATCTTTACGCGTTTCTTATATAATATGTTCTATTGAATAATTTTCAATAGATCTAGTTAGAAGGATAAAAGGCAAGTTTTTATAAATAAATTAACCATATAACCATATAAAATATTAAAAGATTTATTAGATTTATTATTAATATTATTATTCGTTAAATGGTTCACCCTTTGCAGTTTTCCAAGCTTTTTTCAATAAATATAAACCTTCAATGTTTTCTAAAGTAAACCCTTTTCTCTTAACTAACCCATGGTCAACAGTAACAATAACACATAAATCATGACCTTTCCACCTTCCGAAATCCTTTGCCCACTACAAAGAAAAATAAAAGAATTAGTAAAAAAAAAAAGTAATATAAAAACGCGTCTATGTGATAATTACCCAAAGATCTATTGAACCAGCTCCCCTTCATAAGTAGATATAAAATTAGCGACATTAATTCACCTAAAGAATAAGCCTTTCATAAACTAATATTTCTTACCATTTTTGATGGGCTAAATCAGATATTTTTGCTTCTTCATCAGTTTGAACATTTTTAATACTAGTCATAGGAATAGCTTTGTCTCTTCCGTCAGGAATATAATAATTAAAAATATATAAATAAGTCTTGGTAATGGCTATAAATTTATCTCTATATATAAGGGGTTCATCATCCATTTTTTGCCATTTTACTTTGACGTCTGCATAATGGTCTATAAACTCGGGAGGAATAGGAAGTTCTTCCTCTTCATTTTGGGCTGTTTTTATCGGTGGATCTGGAGGTAGTGGTTTATCGATAATTGTTGAATTTTCAGTTTTGTTTTCGGTAGAAACTGATGTTACGGGTTCCGAAATAGCATTTTGGAGGGAGATTCTAGGACTGTTTGATGGTGATATGTTAATAGATTCCGTTGTTGAGCCCGAATCATTACGTCTCGGTTTGAGCATTTTATAAGTTCATTTATAAAAACATTGCTGTTGGAAGTTATTCCAACAGCCATTATATGATGTCACCATAGATGACTTGTTGCTATATACAAGATTCTTATTGGATGAAAGTAAAAATCATGAGATAAACAAAGTAGGACAAGATCAATAAAAAAAAAAAAAACAAAAACTAAATATAGCTTAATGCATACCTTTGGGATCATAGTAAAAATTTAAAAAATGTGCATTTAAGAGAATGTGTATTTAGAGAGAAAATTTATATATATTTAGAAAGAAAATATATAATGTATGCATTTAAATAGGATTTAACTATGGTACATTTCATCTATACTCAAAAATAGTCCGAAAATTTAAAGTCATTTTGTGATTAATCACGTGATTTTTAACCAATTAAATTTAAGACACGTGATAATGATTTATTATATTTTACATATTAAATTTTTTTTTAAAAATAAAATTAAACACAAATTTATAAAGTAATTTTATTTAGTTCTTCAATTATATGATCAGGAATTCGTCTATGACCTTTATATTTTTTTACTGCATATTCAGCCAATTTACCTGATATTCCTTTTCTATATACATCCATATAGCGCCAAGCATGTTGAGCAAATTTCCGAATTGTAATAAGATTTACTGATCCTAAACTTAAAGGAATTATTTGTTGTAATCCTAACCAAGAATAATCACAATTTTCTCGAGCATAACGCTTTGCTGCCCCCCAATATCGTTCAATAAAATTTAACTCACAATGAAACTTAGGATAAAAAATGCATATATGATCAGCTTCTTCTATCATTTCTTGAAGTGCACCTTTTTGTGCAAGAAAGTCAGGTTGTAATGATATAATACGCCTTGCACAACATTTAGTTCGTATTGGATCATTTCGGGTAGCTTTATCTTTGCATAAACTACAATCTGCCATATATTTTTTATCCCAAAGTCCTCTTTCGCGAAGAATTTGTTCCATACCCTTAGCCTTTCCTTGAAGTTCTGATATATGATAATTATCAGGAAAAACCATTTCCTGATATTGATTATTTGGTCCCCACATTGTGCTCCTCATTTTCTTTTGTTTTCCTCCAGGTTTAAGATTCATTCGATTAGCTAATAATGCATCAGAACGATATGCTGAATGATTTGAACTATTATCAAAAGCAAAAACTGCTATACAATTAGGAAATAAAGCCTCAAAGATTGGTATTGCCTTGTATTCTACTTGTTCAAGTAAATGCTGAATGGTCCAATAACCCTCTTGATTTTTACCAGGCGTTAAATAAACCCGCGCTTCATTTGGTACAGTTGGATGTTTTAATACATCTTCTTGACTTAAACACAAACGTCCACAAGCTTCAGAAAGAAATTCACTAATCATTATTGACCTTCCATTTCCTTTTTTTCGTAATGGTAATTCACCATTTGGAGCCCAAACTCCTCTTTTACCATCATTAGCATAAAAAATGCATTCATCATGAGTGATTAAGATATGTTCTTTTTCACCATCTTTTAATTCAGGAGGAATACGCTTCATATCATTACCATTATATTTTGCCATATAAGTTTCATAATAAGAAATTGTTTTAAGAAATTCTTTTCGATAAGTTATTACATCTTCGCGTTCATGTCCATCATAATATATGCCTTGGCGATGTTGTTGATAAAAAAATCCAAGAATATTAAGCCATCGGGTAGATGTTGTAAATGAAATAGTTTTTTTTTTAGTAATACCAGTTTCGATAAGGAGTGTATTTTCAACAAAGTCTTTAAAGGTTTTTGGAGTAACTCCATCACCTTGTGTTCGAATCCAAACTTTACACCTATTAGCTATGTCCTCATCATCAATTAATCGCACTGTCTTTTGATGTTTTCCATGATATACAGGAGGAAGATGACCAGTTTCTAACCAATATTCCGCCCATTTACGAATCATTGTTGCTTTATAGGAACCGGCATTAATAAACACTATTTTAGCAGCTTCCATACTTGCATCCATTTTCCCTCTACCATTTTCATCTAATCTTTGAAGATATTCAAAGATCGCTCTTTTTTTATTGTATTCAATAATAGACATTTTCTTATGAGATTTTTCTAATTCGGTTTTTAATGTTGTAATTTTTTGCAAAGTATTTTCAAATGTCCAACCATCCTCTTCATTTCTATTATTTGAAAATTC